TGTTATTTCGCCCTGTCTTCCATTTACGCAGCCGCGACAGTCCAAATTAACACGGTATCTGGCATTGTTGAGAAACCCTTCTGTGTTCACGACTATAACCTTAACATGGGAGGGGTGAACTTCAATGACCAAATGATTAATCCATACCTAGTTTCTCGGATAGCCCAACACTGGTACAAAAACGTGTCTATTCACTTATTTTAATTGCCTATATATAACGCTTTTGTAATTTACAAAGCAACTGGACGAAGTGGATCCTTCCTAAAATTTCAGGAAGAGATCATCATGGCCCTTTTGTATCCAGAAGGTGCTGTGGCCCAATCCTCAAATCCAGATGCAGTTAGACGCCTGCATGAGAGGCATTTTCCGGATGTCCACTCTGGTACCCCAACCCAAAGGTCACCCAAAAGAAGATGTTGTGTCGGTAGCAGACACAGAATAAGACGTAACGCCCACTTTTTTTTTCCCTCCTGTCCTGGTCAACCTGGTCTCTGTCTCAAGGACTGCTTCTGTCACTACCATACACTAGTGGAGTATTAGTATACGGTACAGCATGGCACAGTTCAGGGCACATATTCACCATTCTCACAAATAGTCTCAAAAGATGTTAGATAGTCAGGAAACTGTCCATCACATTCTGAGAGAAACTCAGAGATTGTTACAAAAAAGTTTGAAAAAAAATAAAATAAAGTTAAAAAAAAAAAAAAAAAAATGTTTTTATCAAGTTTTTCTGAGTTGAGTTCTATTGTTACTTTGTTTTATTGGTAACTGTTTTCTTTACAGGAACACCATTCACTTGTTAGTTTATTGAGTAAATGTTCTATTGTTACTTTGTTTTATTGTTCACCATTGTTTGCTTTGTAGGAACACCATTTAACTGCAGCACCGATCTGTTTATTCTGACAGCAACAGGGCCTTGCTCTCAGAATATACATAAGTAGGTGTGTGCAGCACTGTTGGATGAGAAAAAGAGCATATATACAGAAGCATGGCAGCCTGGGGTGGCCAGCGGGTGGATGGCCACTATGCTTCGGCATATATATTGTATAATATTTTTGACACATATTTCAATAAAAAAGTTGTTTTATTGAGTTGTTTTATTTTTAACCATTGCTGTTTTCTTTGCAGGAATGCCATTCAGCTGCAGCACCAACTTGTTTATTCTGGTAGGAACAGGGTCTTGCTCTCAGAATATACATAAGTAGGTGTGTGCAGTGCTGTCGGATGATATTTTTTATCCGAAGCATGGGAACCTAGTGTGGCCAGTGGGTGGATGGCCCCTATGCTTTGGTATATATTTAAAAAAAAATGTTGACAGAGATTTCTTCATCCACATCGACCGATGTGAATAGAGGAATCTGTTAGCTTGAGCTGAATGACAAACAAAGAACATTTCATGTGTGCCCACCATTAAAAGTGGGTGGATGCAGGGTGGTATATTCTAATGGTGGGCATACCACACACTTTTTCTGGCAGAGATTTCTTGTCTTTTTTTCATTCATCCCACAGGCTTCATAAAAAATAGAACATAGCATATACACCCAACAAGGACCAGCGATGTACTGGTACATTACTGGATTTTGAATGGTTATACCAGAATGATGTCTACAGCTGCAGGCATCATCCTGGTATTGTTTTTTTTCAGCCGGCGATCGGCTTTCATGTAAAAGCAATCCTAGTGGCTAATTAGCTGCAGGATTGCTTTTACAAGCAGCCAGGGAAGATGAACCCCTCCCTGCAGCCTTCCACTGCCTACTTGGGCAGTCCCATGCCATTGGGGGAACCTGAGAATGCAGCTGGTGTTTCTGTCAGTTGACCATAGAGCTGATTGGAGACCAGAATGGTGCCAATCATCTCTATAGTCTAAGAAATTGAAAGCTACGAGCATTTCATCACTTCAATTTAGCAGGATATAAACAGCGTCATTTGTAAATTGGGAAAGCATCTGATCACACCGATCTTGGTGAGATTAGATAATGTAAGGGCAGATGAGATATCTAGACTCTGATAGACCCCAGATTTCTCAAAAAAGAATATATGACAATGCCCATTGAAGATATAGGGGATATTTGCATTCCCTGTGATAGCAGGAAAGGTGATAAAAAAAAATGAAAGGAACAGTGTAAAAAAAAAAAAAAGCACCCTCGCCCCACGCTCACATGCAAACTAGTGTGCGCGAGCATTGACCCCATGCCAGTATGTAAACAATGGTTTCACCATGAATGTGAGGTATGGCCATGAACATCAGACCAAGGGCAGTAATTCTAGAACTAGACCTCCTCTGTAAATCCAAAATGGTAGCTTGTAGAGGCACTTAAAGCGTTGCCTTTGGATATTAAAAATGTATGCAGTTTGTTGCCATTGCACAGTGAGTGCATATTTTTACAGCATGCCATGTTTGGAATCTATTTACTCAACATACCATTATATTTTATATTTTACAAAAACAATTAGCTAATATATTGTGTTTTAGTAATTAAAAGTAAAAAAAATGTATTTTTGTTTTTAATTTGCATTTAAAAAGTCACTGCATGAGTAATATGTGACATAAAAATTGCAGCACCCACCATTTTATTCGCTACAGTGTATGCTTTAAAAAATATAATAATAATGTTTGGGAGTTCAAAGTAATTTCCTAGCAAAATATACAGATTTTTTTCATGTGAACAAAAAGTGTCAAAAAAGGCTTGGTTTGCTGGTGGTTAGAAGAGTGAGTAATGTGTGACATAAACTTCTAATGCTGGGCATAAAATGACCCCTTTTTGGAAAGTAGACCCCCCCCCCCAAACTATTTGCTGAGAGGCATGTTGAGTCTGTAGAATTTATTTTTTTTACCACAAGTTTTTGCAAAATAACAAAAAAAATAATAGATTTTTTTACACAAAATTGTCACTTAAATTATGTATTTCTCACACATGCCATGGGTATATGTAGAATTACTCCCAAAAATACATTCTGCTACTTTTCCCGTGTATGGGGGTACCACATGTGAGAGACTTTTTGTCAGTCTAGCCAAGTAAAGGACACAAAAATCCAAAAAGCACCTTCAGGCTTTTAAAGGGCTTTATTTTCTCATTACACTTCCTGACTAACTATCACAGTTTCGGAGGCCCTGAAATGCCTGAATAGCATCAAACCTCCCCCAAATGACCCTTTTTGAGAAGTAGACACCCCAAGGAATTTGATAAGCATGGTGAGTATTTTGCAGATCTCGTTTGTTGCCACAAGGTTTTGGAAAATGAAGAAAGAAAACAAAACATATTTTTTCTTTTTTTTTTAATAGTTCAAAACCTTGTGAGAAAAAATGAGATCTGCAAAATATTCACCATGCCTCTTTCTAAATTCCTTTGGGTATCTACTTTCCAAAAAGGGGTCATTTGGAGAGGGGGGGGGGGTTGGTACTCTCCTGTCATTTCAGGGCCTCCAAAACTGTGATAGGTAGTGAGGAGGTGAAATGAGGAAGTTACGCACCTTCAGGCTTTCAAAGTGGTCATTGGATTTCAGGCTCCTGTATGTGGCTAGGCTCCCAAAAAGTCTCACACGTGTGGTATCCCCATACTCGGTAGAAGAAGCAGAATGTATTTTGGGGTGTAATTCCACATATACCCATGGCTTGTGTGAGCAATATATCATTTAAGTGACAAATTTGTGTAAAAAAAAAATGTTTTTGTCATTTTCCAAAAACATGTGGAAAAAAAAAACTTCCATGGACTCAATATGCCTCTCAACAGATAGCTTAGGGTGTCTACTTTCCAAAAAGGGGTCATTTTGGGGTGTTTTCACTGTCCTGGTATTTTAGCACCTCATGAAATGTGATAGGCAGTCGGAAAGTAAAATCTGTGTGAATTCCATTATCTATACCAGGGGTCTCCAAACTTTCTCAACAAAAGACCAGTTTACTGTCCTTCAGACTTTGAGGAGGCTGGACTTTAGCCTGTGTGAGTAGAAAATGCCCCAGCATCAATGAGAATAAACAATGCCTTGTCCTTGGTATTAGTGGGAGTAATAGTGATCCATTGTTGATAGTAGGGGAAAAAATAGTGCCCCATTGTTGGGATCAGGGAAAGGAATAGTGCCCCATTGTTGGGATCAGGGAAAGGAATAATGCCCCATCATTGGTGTCAGCGGGAAGAATAGTTCCATACCATTGGTCACAATGAGAGGAATAGTTTAATAACATTGGCGTCAGTGGTAGGAATAGTACTCCATCATTGGTGTTCGTGGGAAGAATAGTTGCATAATATTGGTGTCAGTGGTAGGAATAGTGTCCCATAATTAGTGTCAGTTGTAGGAATAGTACCCTATTATTGGCATCAGTAAAAGTAATTATACCCAATTGTTGGTGTCATTAGAAGGAATAGTGCCTTGTCTCAGTGGGTGGAATAATGCCCCAAGGGCCTGATAAAGGCAAGAAAAGGGCAACATCCAGCCCTCGGGCTGCAGTTTGGAGGCCACTGATCTATACCATAGTTTGTAGATGCTATAACTTTCACACAAACCAATTAATATGCAGTTATTGGGATTTATTTACCAAAGACATGTAGAAAAATAACATTTTTTTTTTACCAAAAACATGTAGCAGAATACATTTTGGCCAAAATGTATGACTACCTTTGAGTTTAAGCCTACAGGGCACTTATACCCCCTTCCTGCCCAGGCCAATTTCCAGCTTTCAGCACTGTTGCATTTTGAATGACAATTGCGCGGTCATGCAACACTGTACCCATATGAAATTTTTATATTTTTTTGTGACAGATAGAGCTTTATTTTGGTGGTATTTAATCACCTCTGGGTTTTTTATTTTTTCTTAAACCAAAAACCACTGAACATTTTGAAAAAAAAAAAAGTTTTTTCTTAGTTTTTGTTATAAAATTTTGTAAATAAGTGATTTTTCTCCTTCACTGATGTGTGCTAATGAGGCTGCACTGATGGACACTGATAGGCTGCACTGATGGACACTGATAGGCGGCACTGACTGGCATTGATAGGCAGCACTGACTGGCACTGTTAGGTTGCACTGACTGGCACTATTAGGCGGCACTGATAGGCAGCACTGACAGGCACTGATAGGTGGCACTGATGCACACTAATAGGCGGCACTGACTGGCACCGATAGGCGGCACTGACTGGCACTGATAGACGGCACTGATTGGCAGCACTGATAGGTGGCACTGACTGGCACTGATGGGTGACACTGAAAGACAGCTCAGATGGGCACTGATATGTGGCATTGATGTGGCACTGATGGGCACTGAAATGTGGCACTGATGGGAACTGGCAGGTGGCATGGATGAGCACAGAGCTGGCACTGATGGACACTGACAGGTGGCGCTGCTGGGGCTACACAGATCATCAGGGCACACTGATCATCAGTGCTCTGATGATCTGTGTACATGTCCTCTCCGAGGAATGCCAATTACCGGCTCTCCTCTCCTCTCGAGCTGTCAGCGTGACAGCTCGTGAGGAGAGAAATGCCAATAACCGGCATTTCCCTGTTTACATGTGATCAGCTGTGATTGGACACGGCTGATCACATGACCGAGCCGACATCTTCACCTCTTTCCATGGATCGGTGATCCTCTGTGTCCGAGGGACACAGCACACCGCCGATCGCCGCGCTGCACGCTCACGGAACCACGCATGCGCGGTGAGAATGGGAGGACGTCCTTCCAGAATGAGAGAACCGCCTTGCGTCCATCATATTACTATATGGCGGGCGGGAGGCTGTTAATATATATATTTTTTACAGCCTAAAGTAAAAACATATTGTTTATTTTCAAAATTTTCCATCTTTTTTTTTTATGCCACAAAAAATAAAAAGTGCACAGATGATCAAATGCCACTGAAAGAAAGCTCTATTTGTGTGAAAAAAAGTACATACATTTCCTTTGGGTACAGCATTGCATAACTGCACAATTACCAATTGAAATAGCAAGAAAAAAAGGCCTGGTCAGGAAGGAGGGTAAATCCTCAGAAGGGCAAGTGGTTAAACAGCCAATGCTGTTATGTATCATTGAGTTGATTTCACAAATGTGTTATTGTTATAGATTATATGTACACATTATATACTGCTGTAAGTGTCAAAATGCAGAAATGATTGAAACAATCTTTTTGTCTCCCCTTCTGCAACTCATCTTTATTATTGTGTTTTTTTTAAAACATTAAAAAAAGAAATAATGCAAAAAAAAAAATCAATTTGTCCACAGCCCTTCCAAAATTCTGGGAAAGTATTAGTGTTAAATTTGGATGCCATTTGTAATTTTATGTGTTAGTTCCCATAAATTATCACTTCTAGTGGCAGTATAGATGGCGAGGTGGGCTCCCTCTGATTCAAATACTGTATAATATGGTATTCCTCCTTTATGTTTGATTACTGATTTGTACTGAGTTTGCATTTGATATGAAAGTGGTGCTTCAAATAAAATGAGAGTTGGAAGTATCTAAAGTATTAAGTATTCGACAAGTTAAATTCAGCTTGTAAAATATTAAAGGATCTACATTCAGTACCAGCAAACTGGTTTTCTAGCATGTTAGTACCACCTGAAATCTAATGACTCAATGATATATCAGGTTTAACCATTTGTCGCCCGCCCTATGGCCGAATAGCGGCCAGCAAATGTCATCAGCGTTCCGGGTGGACGCCATATGGCATCCTCCCGCACATGCGCAGATTGCGCTCCTGCAGAGCCGCGCAGTGGCGCGATCTGTCACCGGCCGTGTACCTCGGACACGGCCGAGGACGGATCTGAGTATCGGCCTCTGTTGCCGGTACCATGTGACCTGCTGTGACCGATCACAGCAGGTCACATGACAGTTGTATACATATATATTTTTTTTTTCATACTGTCACCAGTCAGTGTCCCTGATCACCGCCATGCCAGTTATATGATGTACTGCACTGGTGACAATATGTAAAAAACAAATAGTGAAACTAATTTTTTTCATTTTTTCATTTTCCGAAAAATGACAAAAAAAATACAACTTCAAAAAACTTGCTATGCCTCTTATGAAGTACATTGGACTTTCTACTTTGCAAAAAGGGGTCATTTGGGGGATATCTGTACTGTTCTGACATTCTTGGACCTCAAGAAATTAGATTGGCTGTCAGTACTTCAGGATTGATCAATATTCAGATCTATATATCTATATTGTACCGCGCTCCAAACTATATAACTATAAGTGCTTTAAATAAATTATAAATAAATATTGTGTATCACCAATAATTCAATATTAATCTATAACCATGATGCTTAAATCCATAATTGCATAATATTTAAATCCATGATTAAAGTGAATCAAAAAATTAGTATGCACAAAAAACTTGCGTGCATGGAAAACTCATAAAAGTGAAAAAATGAAGTGAAAATAAAATATAAAAAATAAAATAAAATAAATTGAGAAAAAAGTATATATAAGTGAATAATAGTTCAATTCATACAAGTTGAGATGGTAATGTAGTTCAATCTAATCTGCGTGGTAAGTCAGTGTTCATGACATGAACCTCTCTCTCCTTCCTCCTCTCCTTTCTCCTCAATACAGCCTTATTTCAATAGGGACTTTATCCTCTAGTTGCTTGGCTTATTCCTCCATAATCGATACATACAGAGAATGGAAAAAAAGAGGAAACATAGTGTCTTATCCTGGGTAACAAATGTTTAATAAGCCTCTGATCTCCCACTCACATGGTATCAGCAAAAGTAGCGCTTTGTGTAAATATATCCAAATTCTCCTGCAAACAGCCCAGCCGGTGTGTGTGTGTTCACTCGATATACTCGCCGTTCCTCTGTGGATGCGTGATGACGTCACCGCCCCTCCCCTACGACCACCTTAGAAAAATATCTTCACCTTGTTGCCCACTTTTAGTATTTAGGAACTGCAAGGAGATGGATCAGAAGATAGGCCAGAAGTTGGATCAGGAACAAGAGGAGTAGATTTAAGTAGCATTACAGAAAATGCAGGAATCATGTAAGGTATATTGTAATGGGATCCCAGGGTGGTAAAAGCTGACAGCTGAATAGGGTTTAAGATTAGCATACGGCTTATCAGGCACAAAGGGAAGGATCCTGCATCTATTATATGATAGATGCAGGATCCTTCCCTTTGTGCCTGATAAGCCGTATGCTAATCTTAAACCCTATTCAGCTGTCAGCTTTTACCACCCTGGGATCCCATTACAATATACCTTACATGATTCCTGCATTTTCTGTAATGCTACTTAAATCTACTCCTCTTGTTCCTGATCCAACTTCTGGCCTATCTTCTGATCCATCTCCTTGCAGTTCCTAAATACTAAAAGTGGGCAACAAGGTGAAGATATTTTTCTAAGGTGGTCGTAGGGGAGGGGCGGTGACGTCATCACGCATCCACAGAGGAACGGCGAGTATATCGAGTGAACACACACACACCGGCTGGGCTGTTTGCAGGAGAATTTGGATATATTTACACAAAGCGCTACTTTTGCTGATACCATGTGAGTGGGAGATCAGAGGCTTATTAAACATTTGTTACCCAGGATAAGACACTATGTTTCCTCTTTTTTTCCATTCTCTGTATGTATCGATTATGGAGGAATAAGCCAAGCAACTAGAGGATAAAGTCCCTATTGAAATAAGGCTGTATTGAGGAGAAAGGAGAGGAGGAAGGAGAGAGAGGTTCATGTCATGAACACTGACTTACCACGCAGATTAGATTGAACTACATTACCATCTCAACTTGTATGAATTGAACTATTATTCACTTATATATACTTTTTTCTCAATTTATTTTATTTTATTTTTTATATTTTATTTTCACTTCATTTTTTCACTTTTATGAGTTTTCCATGCACGCAAGTTTTTTGTGCATACTAATTTTTTGATTCACTTTAATCATGGATTTAAATATTATGCAATTATGGATTTAAGCATCATGGTTATAGATTAATATTGAATTATTGGTGATACACAATATTTATTTATAATTTATTTAAAGCACTTATAGTTATATAGTTTGGAGCGCGGTACAATATAGATATATGAAATTCACATCCATACACCTGGAGAGGGTGTAATAAGTACCTAGCGATCTAAATATTTCAATTAAGCACGTTAATTAATTTAGTAGGGGTTCACTTTATTCAGTACTTAATATTATTTCTATACACCGTATTTATTGCTGTATAAGTAAGAAAACTTCTAGTGGCTCACAAGTATTTAATTAATTTGCATTTTTAATATTCAGATCTATACCATAGTTTGTGAACTCTATAACTTTCCTACAAACTAAAAAATACATCCTAATTTGGGTTATTTTCACCAAAGACACGTAGCAGAATACATCTTGGCCTAAATTTATAAAGAACAATTATTTATTTGCAAACTTTTATAACAGAAACAAAAAAAGTGTGTTTTTTTCAAAATTTTTGGTCTTTTTTTGTTAATTTAGCAAAAAATAAAAATCCCAGCAGTGATTAAATACCACCAAAAGAAAGCTCTAGTTGTGTGAAGAAATTGATAAAATTTTAGTTTGGGTACAATGTTGTATGACCGCGCAATTGTCATTCAAAGTATGAGAGTGCTGAAACCTGAAAACTGGCCTGGGCAGGAAGGTGTAAAATTGGCCGGTATTGAATTGGTTAAGGAGGCTGAGAGTGGACAGAGGGATGGGGAAAGAGGTCATGCGTGAATCTGATAGAAATGCAGGTCTTGCCATGCCCTCATGGAAACACAAATTGTTGGAGAGAGACATTTTGGCTTTATATATTGGACGAATCATTAATACCTGTCTAAATTCTCATTCAGAAAGACAAGGTAACACACACAAAAAAAAAAATGTCAGTGTCTGTCTCTGTGAGAAAAGTGACAAACCAGTAAGTGGACCTTGTTGATGGAGAGAGTGATGGAGAAGAGATATTAATAGTGGAGTCACAGTACATATAGCTTTGTATAATGCAAAGATTATTATTGAAGTTTCTTTCAGTTTCTCCTCTCCCACTCTTCTCAGTGTTAATGAAAAGATGAAGACTGAATTGTTACTCAAATAGAAAGGACTGCAAGGGAGGTGAGCATGCACGGAGCCGACAGGACAGACATGTCCGTCTGAGACTCCAACACATAGCGGGGGAAATGAGCCTCGCAGACACCACTCCTGGCCCCCACAGTCCTGCATCACCGCTGGTCACCATAGCAATGCCCCCGGCACCTGTCAAATGTGAAGCACCAGCTGCAGCCATTGGAGAAACCTATCAAAGAGGCATTGGTTCGGGCCTCCTCTAAGATGGCGGCCATCCCTGCATCCCTCACACAGGCACAGTCCTATTCTGCACTGCAAGATACTCGTACCAGATCCCACTGTACGTCAGATGGTGAGTCTGATTCTGACCTGGGGACCCCCAACACACCCCCACCTCTGACCTCTCTTCTCCGGACATTCTCAAACAATTTGAGCGGATCCTACACAAAGCCCTGAAACATACCTCAGACTGCATTACTGACAAGCTATCTAAGGAAATCCGCAAACTGGGGCAGCACACCTCTGACCTTGAACACCGGGTAGACGACCTCGACGCTACCCTCCAAACCCATTCAGATGATCTTAAGCTCCTCTGTGATGAAAATGCGACTCTAC